GATGTTATATTACAACAAGGTGAGGTATACTATCACTACACTACTTATTACATTTCTCTCGAATACTTAAAGCTTATTTAAAAGGTCAAAACAAAACTGGATAAAACCAACAGTAAGACACGTGCAGTACTAAACCACAAATGACAGACAAGTCGATTGAACGGGTACAAAGCGGTCATTATTTTAATAGGGAAAAGCGAGGTAAGTCGACCTAAAACTTCACAGTTTGAATTTCTATTGCCGTAACTACTAGTATATCTCAACATACATCATCAGTTTTCAATTTTGGAGTGAAAACATTTGTGATATGTCAACATATAATGTTTTTCCCTATATTTTTTAATGAGAATAGTGATATATTTTTACATATACCTTCATTCACAATCATATTTTACCAATAACTTTTGATATATTTGCACTTGTATCACTATTCACAAATATTAATCATAAAATTATATAGGGAAGACTATTATAACTAGACTTATTTCAGTTTTCTCTATAATTTTTGTTCCTGTCTGGCAGATGGAGGCATAACAAATAGTACTAGAATACTTATAACATTTTTCACTATATTAAATGATATTAAAAATACTTATATCATGTAACGCAAACAAATAACACCAGCTTGCCGCATTAAATTGACTTATATCACTTCACCCTATCAAAGATACATACATTTTAAACTGGTATCTATATTTAACTCATTTTTTACATTTTTCGACTTTATCACTTTTCCTTAACACCCGCCAGTTATAGGTTATTCCATGAATATAAGACTGTTTTGGATTATTACGACAACGAATATTTTACTGTGCAAGTAGAAGTATGAAAGTAAATTGGTCTAAACAGTATTCCAATAAAATGGATTTACTGTTAGTTTGACACTTACACTAAAATTATTTCAGTTAATATATGTTCAGATAGACGCAAAATTTATTGTGAAATTTAATCCGAAAATAACAAAAATTTTTATGCGAACGGTATTACAAATAAATACAATGAGTTCTATGAAGCCAAAATGTGTTCATAAGACATTTGGGTTGGGTTTCCGTGAAATGTTAACACCAAAGAGGCAAGCCGGGTTTCTTTGATATTACACTTTTTATTACTTTATTAGGTACCTACTACAACTGTAATAAATATAAATATACTTTTAATATAAATATAAAGAAATTGACAGCACGATGGTTTGGAAGCCAGAAAAAGAATCTATAATTTCACTTTGTTAGTTTTAAATATTTGTTTGATTTGAGTAGATGTACACCTAAAGTTCCGAAAGTAACGAATATAACATACCGGCTATTGGTAGTTGAAGTAACGAGTCGTTACAGATATTAAAAAGTAACGAACATTTATATACAGTTGCATATATCGCCGACTGATTTTATTTTTAAAAACTGTCCGTATAGAGGTGTCCGGTGAAGAGAGGTGCCGTTAAGAGAGAGTTTAGTGTAGTGTATTTGTTTATTAAAGCCCAAAACGCCGAGACGTGTTTTAGATGTAGACAACTTTATATTTAATGTACTTTCCTATGGTGAAGTTCTGTGAATCTGATGGTTGATGATAGTTTTAGGAGATTAGGAGAATAAGAGAATAAGTAAGTTCTTTTTGTTTTCTTAATACTAATTGAATATTCGACTAAATAAATTACACTATTTAATCACCTAAGTATTGTTACACTTAGTTTAAATCACTTAATTCAAAAACCAACTTGTTTACAATACTAAAATCAATGATAGTAATTATATACTTCAAAATCTGAATTATAACTATTCTATAAACTATCAACTATATATTTATATCATGACTTCATATTTAAATTTTAAGTCATAATAGTATTTTAAAAATAGGGAGAATTTACTATTGGACAATTCAGCACATTGGACCATTCAAATACAGACCTTAAACCTAATTTAAAACAGTCGTATATTCGTGGAATGGAGTATAACCTAGTTACTAAATTAGTTATATACAAAAAATTCCCCAATTATACACACTTGATCCATGATAACCTGAAGTTATAAATAATAAAATATAAGAAACATTTTAATGATTTGACCTAAAAAGGTAATTTACTTGCCTACTAGAAATGTAACTCTGTATTTCGGCTTTCAATTAAATGTTCTAATAAAGTAATGAGGACACTATCCTGATGGGATAGATGTCCAAAGGTTTAAATATATAATAATAAAATACCAATAAATAACTCTCTGATTAAATGTGTACACATAAAACCGTACAACAGAGTTGAAAGGGAGTATTTAAAAACTCAACCTGTAATTGACAATTATTAGTCCTTAAACGTTATTTAAAATTATTTAAAAAAAATGACGGGTCTTTATTATTAGTCAAAGTAGTAGTATTTAAAGTTAAACAAAAAATATAAAGATTATTAGAATTGATAAACAAAACTTAATATAAATTAGCTGTGTTCCATACTCTAAGGCGGTCTTTCCAACTGGTTCCCTGAAGTTATCTGGGAAGTCTTATATGAAATCTGGACCTCTGATGGAACAGCTAAGGGTGACAGCAAAGGTGCAAACCCAGTAGGGAACAACTAAATTTCTTTTCTTTTACAATCCCCAACAAAATAAAAATAAGAATTCTTGATTTTGGACTTAACTTCTTAAGTAGGCTAAAATAACATTGTGGAGTTACTCTTAATAAAAAATAGGGAAAACACAAGGTGTATTAACCTTGAAGGATACGATAAAAAAAGTTACTAGGAACAAAAAGCTTTAATGATTTTGTAAATAGTGTGACCTTCGCATGGTTTGACAATATTTTAAGTAAAATGGATTGATTAAATAGATAATTTTATAAACGAAAATGCATGCTATGGATCTATTTTATAATATAAAAGAAGGGTATAAGACAGAATATTATTATAGATAGTCTCAATAGATATATAATTACCGGCTAAGAGTGACTATAACTCAAATGGTATACACTAAAACAAACTAAAACTTTCTCATCTTCTTCCCCAAAAAAAATACTTTTCTTAAAACAAATTTAGCACAGCTCTTGCCACCTACTTATTTTAATTCGCCGAACTTCCTTTGTCCAGAGCTGAGAACGGAATGTGCGCTAATTCTTAATTGTTAGTCGGATAAGAATGTCTGCTTAAAACGGCCGCTGAGGTCGCTGTTTAATACCAACTGTTCTTTACTATAGAGTCTGTGGCTCAAGTCTCCTTGAAACGATTCTATTGTACTCAGGTGCCCCTTGAATGGTACATGCCCAGTAAGGAAGCCTATTATGACTCTAAGCACAGATTCCTGCTTGTTTTTCATAATACTTCCGCTCTATTAGCACATGTCTGTCCAATATATATTTTGCATGCGTTTGACCAGGTATATTTTTCCAGTAAGAGCTATGTTGCCTTCTGATCTAGGCTTTCTTCTGGTCAAGGACAATGCTTTTTGGCATTCACAGGACTACTTGGCTATATGTGCATATATTGATTCTCTTCAGTTTGAAAGTCCTCATGTTAACTTCACTTGCACACTGCAAGATTGCAAAACTCTCTTCTTGAAATACAGAGGTATATTAGACTTAGTACCAACAGACATCATCTCCTGGGCTGTGCAGATCACTTTTTCATATTAGCATGTGGTAAATTAATGGCACAGTCAGAGATAGAATTCAACAGGTTCTGAGCGCAGTTAAAAACTGTAGACCTCAAATGTTTGGTTTAAATTAATCATCTAGATGTACAAAATCATGAAATTTGCCAAGGTCCTCTAAGCTTGAATGGAAATGTGGTGAGTGAAATAAAGTACCTTAGGATAATATTAGACTTGAGGCTTACTTGAAATCAGCATATGGAACAAATAACTAAGAGAGTGCTGACTATATTGTGGTATCCAGATGCACTAATGGGAAAATTTGGATTCAAAACTGAACACATCATATTGGATTTATAACATAGTGGTAATACCAACAATTACATGTGCATCAGTGGTGTGGTGGCCAAAGGTGCAGCAAAAAAGTGCTACCTAATTTAAGCAAAGAACAAAGCACACCACCAGCCGTTATGGCTACAGCAGCTATCCTTTTCAAATTGTTATAAGCAGGGGTTGAGAATGTAATATTATAGGCTGTGAGAAAACCTTAGCAATATAATGCTTAGATCAGGACATAGTAATATTATAAGTGAAATCAGAGATATCAAATGATGACTTCTGACTGTATGGTACCCAGGTATAGGTTGAAAGTAGCTTTCCAAGTGGAAGTATACCAATGAAAGGAATGGGGCATAGAAAATTCCTAACCCATATTGCAGGTTTATACCTGGTACACAGATGAGTGGTAAAACTTTAGAAGGTCCAGGTATAGGAATATTTAGTAGTGGTGGAAATGTGCAGTTCCATTTCACTAGGAGAATATACCTTAATATTCCAGGCAGAGATTTATGTAATCTTGCAGAATGCAAGAGAAATTATCATTTACATCCTTAGTATATTCAATTAAGGTTAGGCTGGATACATTTTCAAATTACATGAGTTTCTACTGAGAAAATATTTGGAGTTTTACCCAGTTTTTGTGAATTTGGTTGAGTACGGAAATATGTAGTAATATCTTTGTCTTACTTTGTAAATTGTTTTACCAAGTTGAATATTTTGGTTTGTCAAAATGTGTGAAGACATGAGTTGTAATATTATTTCCATGTTTCCTATAATCACGTTTCATAGACACTTTTGAATCTTTGTGGGGGTTGGATTGACTTTGCTAATTGGTGACTGTCTCTTAAATGATGATTGGATACACGATGAGTGGAATTATAACACTATTTTTTGATTAAAAGTTTTTGAATACCATAAGCACTTTTTTTTCTGAAAAGTTCATCTGTTCATATAGAGGCTTTTTTCCAGAGGCCATATATTATTAAAAATTGTACTGCGGCCATTTCCTGTATGAGGCTTAGATATTTACTTCCTTAATCTTCCCATCTACTTTGATAGTTTTTTAAGTTTGGTTATAGTTTTGAATATTTTTAGATGCAGATGATTTAACCAATTCAGAGTATGCTACTGATACAAAAGCAAACAAACCTGAGGAACTGCTATCTACTACAAAGAGGAAGAAAGAGGAAGATTCAAATGAATGCAATAAAAAAAGAAAACTGGATTGTCAGGAAACTAACAAAGATCAAATAGAAAATAATGAATGTGACAATATAAGCAAGTCTGAAGAAGATTCTAACAAAAAAATAAAAGCGGACACTGATGACTCTGATCCAAAAACAGATCATCAAGAAAATATGGAATTTGAAGATACTGAACATAAGAAGAAGAAAAAGCACAAGAAAGATAAAAAGAAAAGTATTATTAAAGAGATAGGTCTACAAATTTTATCAAAGTAAGTTATAAACAAATAGATAAATGCTAATCTATAAACAACTATGAAATTTTAAAAATAAACATTTCAACCTTTGTTTAATTGATTCAATTTAGCAAAAAAAATTACTAAAATTAATAGATAGAACTGAGAATAGTGAACCTAGTATACCAATACATCTTCTTCTTCGCGTGCCATATCAGATTTATCCGACGTTGGCGATCACCATTGCGAAGGCTTCTCGATCTTCTGCAATATAGAATAATTGTCCTGCATTTGGTATCTGAGTCCATTCACGAATGTTTTTAACCAAGAAACTTGTTTTCTTCCTACACCTCTACGGCCCTCTATTTTGCCTTTAAGGATCAGTTGTAAAATTTTATATCGACTTCCCCTTACTATATGCCCCAGATAATACATTTTTCGATGTTTAACAGTCTTTAGCAGTTCTCTGTCTTTGTTGACGCTCCTTAGTACTTCTTCGTAGTTTTCTAAAAAACTTCTTAGTTTTTCTTGCTGTCCAAGGTATTTTCAGCATTCGTCTATGAACCCACATTTTCAATGCTTCAATTTTGTTCATGATCGATACTTTTAGCGTCCACACTTCTGCACTATACAAAAGTACAGACCAAACATAGCACTTAACCATTATTTGCCTTAGTTCTAAACTGAGATGGTTATTGCAAAGAAATGACTTCATTTTCATAAAAGTAGTTTTAGTCATTGCTATTCTACGTTTTATTTCTATGTCTGGATCTAGTTGGTCCGTTATCATAGTTCCCAAATATGTCATTTTGTGAACTTTCTCAACTTGGACTCCGTTCAATTGAAGCTTTGCATCGGGATGTGGGTCACGACTAAGTGTCCTTACCCATTTTTAGTTTATTTTAATGCCCATTTTCTCTACTACCTCGTGAATACGATCAAGCAGAATTATGAAGACCTTCAATATTATCTGATAGAATTACTGTATCGTCTGCATATCTAATCACATTAAGTAGTTCCCCGTTGATTTTTATTCCATATGGTTGTCTCTTAAGTGCCTTTTTAAATAACTGGTCTGAGTAAACATTGAACAATGTTGGCGACAAAATGCAACCTTGTCTGAGTCCTTTTTTGTATCGGGATTTTATCGTTGTAGTTATCTCCAACTTTTACGATAGCAGTTTGATTCCAGTACAAATTTTTAATGACACGAATATCCTTGTCATCTATTCCGATATTTTTCAGTATTTGCATTAATTTTACATGCTGTACTTTATCGAATGCCTTTTCGAAGTCCACGAAACATGCAATACATGCAACATTTAATTGACAGGTTTCAAAATATAGGTTTAGTCAGCAACACATAAGAAGTAAGTTGTCCAGTTTGAATGAAGGTATTGAAGATGTAGTTTTAAGTAATGTGTAAATGGCTCCCACTCAGTCTATTAGAAAGATATCTGAAGTTTTTAGTGTTTTAGAAGTGGAGTTGGTAAAGTGGAGATATGTTATGTCTTTGTGGAGTTTTTTTATGGTATTATTTTTGAAGAGTCCAGGGAAAAATTCCCGAGATTGATGCAAAGCTGATTTTGAGAAAAATAAATTTGGCAGTTGACCAACTTTAAATAACCTTCAAAAACGATTTAAAAAATACAAAAAATTTGTTTTTGAACCATTAACTATGAAGATTCAAAATAAGTTTCCTGGATAACCATTTTTCAATATATTCAATGATATTTTATACCCTCTTTTACCTCTAAACCAAACAATGGAGAGAATGAAATAATTTTGAAGAATGCAAAATCGTATTTTATTATCCGCAAACTACACAAAAACTTTCTTTGTACAAGTATTTGTAAACTGCGTACTTATCTACTAAGTTTTAAAACAAATTTACCCGACATTTACGAAAAAAAAATGTTTTTTACGATCGAAAAATACGGTTCCAAAAAATATTGTGGAAGTCACTGAAATTGATTATTGGCGGATTCACTGGTCATCTTCTGAGTTTTCAGCGTCAATGGGAGGGTCGTCGATGTAAATGTCGCCGTCGTCGTCTTCTGACGCAAGTCCATCCGACTTCAAACTTTGATAAAAACGCCTCGCTTCAGGGTTATCCAAAAATTGTGCCAAGTGAAGCAGATCTTTGAGTTTGGCGGCTTTAATAGGGATTGTCCCATCGTATGATCTTTTCAGTTCCACGACTGGCTTTGGAGCTTTCTGATTTCTTTTTTTTCAAAGTCTTCGACAAATTTTTCCTAGGTGGCAGTGGAACCAATAATGGAGAGCTTGTGTACGGGCCAGAGTACGTGGCTTTGTGGTAAACCAAATTTTTGCTGGTGGAACTTACTTTGAGGACTCTTATTGGTCTGGTGGGTAAAGGACACATCTTTTTTAGGTAAATGGACGACAGATGTTCAGTTCAATTTTGAAAAATGTCTAGGTCCAGGCCACAATCTACCACTTGGAAAGGAGTCGGTTTCACGAGGGCGTGCCTGAATACATCTCTCCAGTCCTCAGGAGTTTCAGTGTGACTTTTGTTTGATAATATTCATATCAAGGTCGCACTTCAAGTACAAGTGACCTGGAATCGGGAAAACAACCTTGATATTTTCCAACTTCCCTTCTTTGGTTACCAAATTGTGCAAAAATCTTATTAATCTGAAATTTTTGTTTTGCTCTCCGCAAGAGTCGCAAAATATCGTAAGTTCCTTCACCGTTGGGGGCAAAATGTTGCATACGAAATGATGCAACATAGAGAAAACCTCGTTGGTTCCTTTTTTGCTACAGATTCGTCGTACGTGTAGAAAATCGCCTGTTAAGTAGACAGTACATGAATGTTAAAACTGATGAAGTTAAGTTGACGCCTGTAGTAGACGTCATTAGTAGTTATGTTTGGGCAAGGTAAATTTTTTTGTAAATCCATGGCAATTCTTTCAAAAGATGTCGACTTCATTGCCTTCTTTCGGCATAGTGTCTTCAATTGATAGAAACGCTCACTTTTCTTTAGGTGTATTTCCCTATTTCGCAACTTCGCAGACAACTGGGGGTCTGTTCTGGATGGGTCTTTTGCTTCCAATATGGAAATCTCAGACTTCAGGAAGTCACGTGTGCTGCAAGTATCCTTGCGAAGATAGCCGAAGGAGATTGATTTCATTTTCAAAATATTCCCGAAAGGATTCATACGATACTCCATTTTCCGGATACTGATCTGTGTACATTTTGTGCAGCTTTGTAATGTTGAGTTCTTCAAGTAAGTATAATTTTTCCATTTCTTCAGAGAATAGTGTAATTTTCTCCCTCTCAGTGACTTCAAAAATGTGTACATTTTTTCCTTAGTGTCTTTTGTTAGCTTGTGGGGTCTGTTTGAGTGCTTGCCGCGCTGATATGTATTCGTTTACGCTGATCCTCAGCAACTGCTTCAAAACAGCGAAGCATCTTGCAACAACAATCCGGCCCGAGTTCATGGCTCAGCTATCAACATTTTCATCACATCTGTTACTATACCTGTTTTCTTCTGCTTCTTGCTGGTTGAGGGCTGTCCATCATCGCTGTCCATTTTCACAAAAATACAACGCAATAAACAGGTTAACAAGACGGTACTGAGTGCGGAAGAAATAATACTAGCGTCTTGCCCCCGGTATGAAACTTTAATAAAGATCTCGGCATGCGCTGCGTGTTTGCGATGTGCATTTAAACTGCAATGATGGGGTTATTCCCCGCACGCTCTGTCGATGACATGGTTTTTCCCCAGTACTGCTTATATTCAACTCGATATTTCGCTGAGATGACTGGGTTATTTTTGAAAACCGAGGGCTTCGTCGGATTCTACGCCTCGCAATCCTTTAGTAACCACTTCGAACCGGATTAACCCAAAAATGTTTATGACGAGGTTTTCCCCTGGACTCTTTATTTATTATTATTTAAATCAGATTGAAATATATTTTATTTAGGTTCTGTGTATCTTTTTTGTCATCGAATTTATTGATTCATATATCTACCTTTTCTCTTTGTCTTGTTCGGTTTTTAAAATTTTGATGTTTTCGATGTTAAATGTATTTTCATGTTTTGTAAGCCCAGTGATGTTGTTCTTGTCATATTTGTGAGAACGAATTCTGGATTGAAGCAGTTGACTGGTTTGCCCGATATAGACACCTTCACAGTTAATATGTGGTATCTCGTAAACAACATGTGATTTTTTGAGTTTTAGAGTTCGTGTTTTTAATTTAGTGAAATATTTATTTAAAGGTTGTTGCCTTTGTTCGCCACTGTTATGTTATGTTTGGCTAAAAGATTTGTTAGTTGTTCGGATAAACCTTTTATATATTTAAAAGTTGTATATGTAGTCTTGATACTGTTGAGTTTATTGTTTTTTGTATTGTTGTAAAATTTATTAAGTCTTGATTTGAAAATAGTTTCCATTAGATGTTCAGGATATGCATTATTTAGAAGGGCATTTTTTGCTTTTTTTAATGCAGTTGATCTGTATTCTGTATCTGTTAGTTTTATAGATTTATTAACAAGACATATAATTACAGACTTCTTATGGGAGAATGTTTCTTTTGTAATCTTCTTCTTATAGTGCCGTGCACCTATAGTGCGTTGGCGAATTATCTTAAGGCCAGACGTCTGTTTTTTGCGGCATGCAAAAGATCGCCAGTGTTATTTATGCCTGTCCAGTGTTTTATGTTCCGCAGCCACTACATTTGCGACCTACTCCTCTCTTGCCTTCAATCTTTCCCTGAATGATTAGTTGAGGGATTGCGTATTTTTTTCCTTTCAGAATATGGCCGAGGTATCCAATTTTTCGTACATTGATCAAATTGAGTAGAGATCAACAGGAGAGAGAATGTTGCCGACCAGAATGTAGATTCCACTATTTTTAAATAATTTTAAACTGTTTGTCCTTGTTTAGTGTAGTGTTATGTCCAATTTTGTGTTTAATTTTAAGTTTATGACATACTGCAATTGTTGGATCGCCCAAAATTTGACGAAATGCCCTTGAAGATGCTCGAGGAAGTGAAAGTACTTCATCATCATTCAGCCAATCGCGTCCACTGCTGGACATAGGCCTCCCTCAGTACTTTCCAGTGTTCTCTAAACTGGACCGCTTGTAGCCAGTTTCCCGCTACAAGTTTTATATCATCGGTCCATCTAGTCGGTGGTCGTCCTCGGCTTCTTTTATAGTTTCTGGGCCTCTATTCCATAATACGTCTTGTCCACCGTCCATCTTGTTTTCTGGCTAAGTGCCTTGCCCAGTTCCACTTAAGCGTCGTGGTTCTTTCGATGACGTCTTGAACTCCTGATCTTTGTCTGATTTGTTGGTTTGTTATGTGGTCTCGAAGGCTCACGTTCAGCATTGCACGTTCCATGGCTCGTTGTGTAACTCTGAGTTTATTCGCAGACTTTTGCGTGAGTGTTAAAGTCTCTGCGCCATAAGTTTGTAAGTGTTTGAAAGTACTTGGACAACATAAAACAGTGCTCGATATCTGCCTTTCGTTTTATCAAAGTTCATTTATTCGGGAATTCAACCTTATATCAAACTAATAGATAAATTTAAAAAATAAAATGGCTGTGTAAGTTCAATTTAAAAATTTTCGAGAGGTCATAACTCCCAGCATAGGACTAAAATTGCCAGAGTTATTTTTGAATAAAATTGGCCCCCCTCGATATAAAAGCCAACGGATTTTTGGATTTTTTTTGTCAAAAAATTTATTTTGCATAGTTTTAGGAGGTAAACATTTTCATAGGGACAAGGTGACTACCTAATACTAACATAAATTATATTTTAATTTAGGCCAGAATGGAAAAAAATGAGAAATAGATATTTGGACCTACAGAAAAAGAAAATGAAGGAATTCAAACAATATTTAAATAAACCGAAATTCAGTCAGAAACATGATAAATTCAAGAAGGGGAATATTGACAACCAACAAAGCTCTCAAGAAGAAAACCAGAAGGAAGAGCCGAATGTAAAATTAACATTTTTAAGTGGAGTGATTGTAAAAGTGACACTACCAGAACCAGTGATAGATGCCAAAAAAATAAAGGTATGTAATTTTTAATTTATTTAATTTTTGACTTCATCTCCGTTGCTCTCATATATGTGATGAAGTGCAGGCCACAAACGTTTTCCAACCCTTTTGTAGACCCGTCTATTGTCCAATTCACGTGTTCACGCGTATATGCAAGTCTGCATCTTTAATCATCAATAAGTCATGGCCCCGTTGTTGGGCGGTAAGCTGCCAAACTCCATTCTAACCTTTTTCGAAGAGTAGAAACGCGATTGCTGCTCTTTCAGGGTTACTTAAGATGGCCTTGGAGCATTCTAGCAGTTTGCTTCCTGTCTCACAATGCAGCAATAGTGAGAACGTGATGTTCTCATGCATTTTTTCTTTCTTTTGACACTTGTACCGGTTAGTCGTTAGTGAGATCCGGTCTAAAGATATCGTTGGTAAGTTTGAATGACTAACATTCAATTCGCTTGCCACATCCTTTTGACTTGTTCCGTTTTCCAGCAATGTAATAATCTGAGCAGACTTTTGACATTTTTCATTGATAATCAGCATATATCGACATGAAACTCTTTGAAACTTTGTTACTCAAAAACTTTATATACAGTAAGCAGCAAAATTAACGCACCACCTTAAGAATGGGTCATTTTTGTTGTCTCGAATAAGAAGTTGGCAAAATAGATAAAACACCCAGAATCTTTGTTATTAATGAAGTAAGACCCATTACGTATGGGATTTTTGAGATCGCCCAATGTTCCTTTTTTATAATTAGCGTATCTTGCTTTCCCAACGAAACACCCGGTATACATACTTTGGTGTCAGAGTAAGTTCTTACTAGGGTTTTGAGTATTCCTAGTACACGAGAAAAGGGTTTTTATATAGTTTTCTTTTGTTTACTGAGTCAAAGGTTTATTTTTTAAACCAATAAACTGTTCGGAAGTATAATTCCTCTTTAGGTAGCCATTTTTGTTTATTTTTTCATAAAGTGGGTGTAAAGTCCCCATTTTCTCTATTCAACGCTTATTTCAATGATATATTTTGGGCATGTTATGAGAGCAAACACAGAAAACATGGAAAGACTCATAATACAAGGAAAGGTAGAAGGCCGAAGATCACGAGGAAGATCCCCAACAAGATGGATAGATCAAATTACAGGAATATGCCAAAGACCTATGCATGAATTAAAAGAAATGACCAGAGACAGAGATTTCTGGAGACGGACAATACACGACATCACGTTAACCATTACACTCCACCTGGGGGGGGGGGGTCAGGATTGAAGAGAGAGACCGTGGAGGAGTAGACCATGTATTTGTTTCAATAGTATCGGTAATCCATTTTTATTACTTGAACTGTTGTAGTATCGGTACCAGGTGTTTTATTAATTTTTAAAAGTGATGGATTCAGTGATGTATGGAAATAATCAATTTGTGTTTTTACTTATCTTGTATTAGATTTAAAGAGTATTAGCAAAATAAATTTTTATAAATTTTGACAATCATTTAAAAACTATGTCTACAACAGGTCCTTGTTTTTGTACCCCTTTTAAATTATACAGGGCGTTGAACTTGTTATAATTTTGACTGAAATTTGGTTATAACTTTTTAAACGCCCTGTATAACACAAAACAACTTTGTGTTTTAACGAGGAATTGAAGCGAATTTTAAATTTAAAATAAAATACCGGGTGTTTTATTTAAAAAATGATCTTTGATGCGGTAAAGATAATTCATAATGTCGTGGACCTGACGTAATCATTTAGTGACGTCGATCTACGAACGAACCAATAATATCAGGCATTGCTAAAAACATGCAGCTCTGTTCAATGCGTTATCGTAGCGAGACAGAGACGAACTAGTTTTTGCTTTAGTGAAATAGCTTTAATATTTTTTTTTGTGAACAATCATTTTTAATATTCTATCACTTTTTAGATCATTCTAAATAAGAAGTGTTGATTGTAATTTTTCTCTAAAGTTGATCGTTTTCAACTTATAAACAATTTAAAACTGAAAAACAACGAAAAATGATGATTGAAGGCATAAAAACAAACTGTTTAATAGATTAGGACCACTTTTTGTATATGCGACCTCTTGAACATTATTCTCAGAGATATTTTATAAAAGTGATTTTATATATATATATATATATATATATATATATATATATATATATATATACATATATAATCTCATGGGAATATTTTCCCAAAGAATTAGAGGTTTTCGTCTCGTATAAACATATTTTGCTGAATTTAAAACCAAAATACTATTATTTTTCTGTAATACATTGATTTGTTATTTATTTATTTGTCCTCTAGATTTTTTTCAGATCTTAAAAGGTTTATTTATAAGCCAAATTAGTGCAATGTAAATATTTTACATTTTTACACAGCAATTCTTATCGGCAGTGAAGACTTCTTCTGCTTCAAGTTCCGCTCCTATCGGAGATTGGAGATCATTCTGGCAATTATAATTTTGTTGGTTACGTGCCTGAATAGTTCAATTGAACTGCATTCAAACCATTCACGGAGATTGCGTAGCCACGAGATTTTACGTCTTCCTACGCTTCTTCTGCCTTTGATTTTACCCTTGTGAAGACGGAAAGTCGTAAATTTTTATTACATCTTTCAATGTGAGATAAAATAAAAATGCGATGACTAACTGGAAGGTTTAAGATTAGAGAAACATAATATGTCATGTTTATTGGAAATACTTGACATCATTAGCAAGTTCAAATCCTACCCTGTCGCCTAATTTCCTATGAAATTAAAATGGTAAATGTTTTTATGGTCCATTTATTTTGTCGGACATGCGTATTTACGAGGTCCACGTGGTTTTGAAACATCATTACAGTGTTATGAAAGACCCTGTATATTTATATCTAACTAGCTGAGCCGGCAAACGTCGTACCGCCTGAGAATTAAATAATATGTCAAGGTTCAATAACTAAAAATGAACAAAAAACCAAAGGGAAATACTCCAAAATATTATGTAAGAAAAGAGTTGAATCTATTAAATGGTTTCTAATAAACAATATTGTTTTTTTTGCTGTGCGTAAATATACAGCGATGATGGATTGATTAAGCTTGATATGTCAGTTGGTAGTTCAGGTTTCTTTCCTAGGTGGCGCTATGAGTTATTTTCCCGGATAAACTGTGTTTCCGTGTGACGTGTCATTATAGCCTTTTATTAGATTAAATTTTAAAATGTGAAGCTTATAGTTACCTCTTGTTTTTGGAAATAACTTTTTTTTGGTTTCCTATAATTATACGAGTAGATATAACGAACTGTCACAAAAGTTGATCACCCTGTAGAATGACACCCTTGAACCATGAGTCAAGGTATCATATCAATGGGAACAGTGGATAAATATAATTCTAAATAAAAAGAAATTAAATCATGTGAATATTATGGAAATATTAGATGTTGAATCAAAGAAATGATGTCGTATAAAACGTAATAAAGTAAAATGGAGAGGGAGGTTGAAATGACTAGCGATAAAAACTATGACAAAATGAAGGATGCTAGGAAAGTTAAGAATGAGATAATGGTTAGTAATATTCATTGGGAAATTAATTTGGGTCTAGAGATAGCATTAACGATGAAAGATAAAAAAGAATAAGGCATTATTTTAACAAGTTAAAGTTTAATTTAAGAATTAAAATTTTAAGCTAAGTGTTGTGAATTGTCTCCTTTCTACAACACAAATAGCGGGCCAGACGTTGGAACTGGCTAAGTAGTTGGACTTGGATTAAATAATTATTCGTCGAAAACAATTTCTACGTCGAACTGGTAATAATGCTTTGTTGTATTTAATGGCACTTTATTTTACATTGTACTCTAGTTTACAAAGATTGTAGTTTACAATAAAGTATTTAATTATCACTAACTATTTATTTTTCTGCTATGTGTGCTAAGGTAAGGTTTCCGTAGAGCACGTGTGAGCTATCCCAATTGAGGATCGACTACGAAGTCTCAGATGTGAACTATTTGTCACGAGGGCCGATCAAGAAGTCTCTGAATGCCGCTTTGATTTAAGCTTTTGTAGCAATTTTCAGTCCCCGACCTAAGATAGAAAATAATTACATTCTGAAAAAATTTGAACTGGTTGCAAACCTAATAATTACTATATTTGCAACCTGCTGTGAACGCTACGTAAAAAGAAGACGACGTTTTGTTCACAGCTACCGCGATGACGTGGTTTCTAAAAAGGAGATTATTTTTTTCCGATAGCTCGCAATGTTACCAGACCTAGGGAATTTTCCCTATACCTAGGGAATTTTGAGCCAGCTCTTAGGAAAAAGGGATTTTTATTCAATTCTATGAAAAGTCTAGGGAATTCTTGATATTTGTAAGACTATTTTAAAAAATCAGTTGGATTTAATAAACTTTCCAAAATTGCACATATATCATGTATTTGGAAATCGTACTATTCGGGGAATCACTGAATTTTGTTCATTTGATTTCCCGTCGGAGACTAGAGTGGTGAAATTTCAGGAACTGCGAATTACGTCGGGGATCCACCTGGGCTAAAGTATATATTGACCTCGGGCGATTTTTGGTTTCTAGTTTCTCTTTCTCTAACAGTTTATGTGATTCTTCGTCGGTGACTAGAGTGGTGGTATTTCACAAAGGGCGAATTATGTCGGGGATCCACCTGGGCTAAAATATCTAATATTTTGATATTATTACCCCTTCTTACCATAAATACAGCTATAAAACATTTGTGTAGAAGGGACAATAATCATTGTATTAAAAACATGTGTGTACAACTAGAGGAACATGCTGACCGCCAAGAATCTAAATAACTTTTCTTAAAAGTCAAGTATCTAGCGAGAGAATTCAAACTGCAAACACAGATCATCAAAGATAATAGTGGAAATATCATAACAAACCTAGACGGTATCGCAGATATTTGGAAACAATATTGCGAAATACTATTCTCTAACAACGACCCGGACAATAATACAGAGAAAAGAAGTTATGAAGAACAACCTCAAATATTGAAATCAGAAATTGAAGCGGCAAGTAAAAAGCT